ATGGGCCAACTTTTGTCCCATTGAGTCACTGCTGTTGTAGATCTAGAGTTCAGAGTTTCCATGAGCTTGGTTCAGCTGTCTCTGTAGATTTTTCCATTATGAACTTACCTCCCTTGTTCATATGTTCCCTCATCCCTTCTTCTCCTGGATTCCTAAAGTTTGTCTGATTCTTGGTTGTGGATCTCTGTTTGTGGTTCCATCATTTACTAGATGAGGATCCATGATGACAGTTGACGTATTCATCAAATTGATTACAGAGTTAGGCCAGTTCAGGCATTCTCTCTACTATTGCTAGGAGTTTTACTAGAGCCCTCATTGTGGATTCCTGGGAGTTTCCTAACACCAAGTTTCTCCCTAAACCCATAGTGGCTCCCTCAATTAACATATCTTTTTCATTGCTCTTACTACATCCCTCCTTACCAGGGACATCCCATTCCCTCCTATTCTCATCCTTCTTCCCCTGTTACTTACCACCCCAGGTTATGCCTCTATATATAATCTAATTTTTCTTTTTCATTATTTTTTTTTTGCTTTTTCGAGACAAGGTTTCTCTGTGTATCTTTGAAGCCTATCCTGGCACTCACTCTGGAGACCAGGCTGGCCTCAAACTCACAGAGATCCACCTGCCTCTGCCTCCCAAGTGCTGGTATTAAAGGCATGTGTGTGGCCAATGCCCAGCTAATCTAATTTTTCTTCCAAGGGTGGTACATGTGGCCCTCTTAGGGTCCTACTTGTTACAGAACTTCTTTGACATTAAGGGCTTTAGTCTAGTTATACTTTGCTTTACATCTTATAGCCACTTATGAATGAATACATACCATGTTTGCCTTTTTTAGTCTGGGTTATCTCACTCAGGTTGTTGGGGTTTTTTCTAGTTCCATCCATTTTCCTGAAATTTCATGAGGTCATTATTTTTTTTCCACTGACTAGTATTCTATTGTGCAAGTGAACCACATTTTCTTTGTCCATTCTTTGGTTGAGGGGTATCCATTTGCCTGAAAATTTCATAAGTTTATCATTTTTTACAGCTCAGGAGTATTCCATTGAGTGAATTACCACGTTATCTTTATCCATTCTTCAGCACGGCGACACCTAAGTTGATGCCCAGTTCTGGCTATTATGAATAATGATGCTGCGAATGTTGTTGAGCAAATGTCCTAGTAGTAGTATGATTGAGTGTCCTTTGGGGAAATGACAGAGAATGGTATTGCTGAGTTTTGAAGTAGATTGATTCCAAATTTTCTTAGAAACTGCCACAATGATTTTGAAAATGGCTGTATAATTTTGCACTCCCACCAGCAGCAGAGGAGTGTTAACACTGACTCCACATCCTTCCCAACATAAACTGCCCTCAGTACTTTTAATCTTAGCCATTCTGGCAGGTATAAGATGGTATCTCACAGTCATTTTAATTTTCATTTCCCTGGTAATTAAGGATGGTGACCACACCCTTAAATGTTTTTTGGGCATTTGACATTCTTCTGGTGAGAATTCCCTGTTATCTCTGCACCCCATCCTTCAATTGGTTTATTTTGGATTGTGATGTCTAGCTTGAGTTCTTTATACATTTTGCAGATCAAAACTTTGCCAGATGTTGATTGGTGAACATCTTTTCCCATTCTATAGACTGATGTTTTGTCTTCTTTACAATGTCCTTTGCCTTAGAGATGCTTGTCAGTTTCATGAGGTCCCATTTATTTATTGTTGCTTTCAGTGTCTATGCTACCAGTGTTATATTTAAGAGGTGGTCTTCTGTGCTAATTTTTTCCAGCCTACTTCCCACTTTATTTTCTATGAGGTTCAATATACCTGTACATATGTTAAGGTCCTTGATCCAATTGGATTTTACTTTCGTACATGACAATAGATATGGATATATTTGCAATCTTCCACATGTTAACCTCCAGTTATGCCAGCAGCATTTGTTAAAGAGGTTTGCCTTTTTCCATTGTACCATTTTGGCTTCTTTCTCAAAAATCAGATGTTCATAGGTGTGTGCATCTGATGGGAAATTCTTTTACTATCCTTTACTCTGGAGGAAATGTCTGTCTTTGAAGTTGAGTTGGGTTTCTTGTATGCAGCAGAAGCATGAATCCTGTTTTCCTATCCACTTGATAGCCTGTGTCTTTTTATAGGTGACTTGAGTCCATTGACATAAAGGATATCAATGAGCAGTGATTGTTGTTTCCTGTTATTTTTTGGTAGTGGTGGTGTGGGAGGAGAAGGATTTCATGATGTGGGATTATCAATGCCTGTGTTTTCCTGGGTATGTCTAACCTCCTTGTATTGGACTTTTCCTTCTACTGCTTTCTCTTTTTTGGTGTTTCGAGACAGGGTTTCTCTGTGTAGCTTTGGAGCCTATCCTGGCACTCGCTCTGGAGACCAGGCTGGCCCTGAACTCCTTCTAGTGCTTTCTGTAGGGATAGATTGATTAAATCTGGTTTTGTCAAGTAATATTTTGTTTTCTCCACTTATTGTAATTGAAAGTTTTGCTGGATATAGTAATCTGGGTTGGCACCTGTGATCTGTTAGAGTCTGCATAACGTTTGTCCAAGACCTTCTTCTGTCTTTGAGAGTCACCATTGAGAAATTGGGAGTTATACTGATGGGTTTTCCTTCATATGCTTCTTTGCCTATTCCCTTTGAAGTTCTTAACATCTTTCTTTATTCTATCTACACTGTTTTCAATATTATATGGTGGGAGTAAGTTTTTCGATCAAATCTATTTCATGTTCATATGCTTCTTGTATTTTCACAAGCATTTGCTGCAGTGCATTGGAAAAGTTTTATTCTATGATTTTGTTGAATATACTTTACATGCCTTTGAGCTGGTATTCTTCTCCTTCTAACCCTATTATTCCTAGATATGGTCTTTTCATGGTATGCCAGATTTCTTGGACATTTTGTGTTATGACTTTGTTGGATTTAATGTTTTCTTTGACCAATGAATTCATTTGTTATATTGTGTCTTCAACACCTGGAATTCTTTCTTTCATCTTTTGCATTCTATTTATTAAGTTTGTATCTATAGTTCCTGTTCATTTACCCAGATTTTCAATTTCCAAAATTCCCTCCATTTGTGTTTTCTTAATTGCCTTTACTTAAATTTTCAAATCTTGGACTTTTTTATTTGTTTTCTTGAATTTCTTTAAGGGACTTAATGATTTCTTCCTAGTTTTGTGTGTCTTTCCCTCCATTTCTTCAAGTGAGTTCTTCATTTATACTGCAAGGACCTCCATCATCTTGATCAAGTTATTTTTAAGATCATTTTCTTCTGCTTCTTCTGCTGAGATGTTCAGGTCTCCCAGATGTAGTATGACTAGGTTCTCGTATTGCCATATTACTCTTTAGGTTGCTGAATACATTATACTGATGTCTACCCATTAATTCTTTTGCTTGGTGTAGGCAGTATCTTTGTTTCTTGACCCAACTGTCTTTGTCCTCTTCCTCAACCATCTCTGTACAGTAGATGTCTGTGGCCCTCAGGGCTGGTCTCAGTCCTCTCTGTATGTCTTCTTTCTCATTCTTCTCTCTCAGTACTCTGTGTACTAGGTATCTGTGTCCCAGGGAGCTATTGAACTCATTGGGGATGGATGGAGCAGAGTGGGTCCTATGGAGTGACATTGGTCTAACCTGCCTGAAGGAGTCTTTCCTGCTGACCTGGAAGTGTGGATGAGATGGATGGGGACAGACCTCAGAGTTTTGCACTGAGACCAAGGATCTGGTAGATGGGTGTTCAAAGGGGGAAGTGGAACACTCACCTCTCAGGCCTCTGAACAGTCCAATAGTTAATTTTGATTCAATGCATAAAAATTTCAGCACACACTGAACCATACTCCTGGAATCCACTTGTGGAGAGGGAGGAGGGATGAACAAAGGAGCCAAGATGGTGCTAGAGAAACTCGCAGAAACAGTTGACCTGACCTACTAAGAGCACGGGGACCCTAGTCATAAAGCTGGGGAGATAGCATTGGACCAAACCAGGCTCTCTGAATGTGGGTGCCAACTAGGAGGCCAAAGCATTCTATGGGACCTCTAACAGTGGAGCCAGTGTTTATCTGTAGAGCACCTATGAAGGGATACTATTACAGCCCAGATACAACAAGGAGGGCCTAGGCCTATGATGGACTTTGAAGGTCCCCTGTGGAGGGCCTCACTATCCCTGGGGATGGATTGAGGGATGGATTGGGGGTTGGGGGAACAGGGGAGGATGGGAGGATGAGGAAATGGGGGGATGGATATGTAAATGAGTAGTAATTAAAGAATTTAAATAAAAAACCAACCAATTATCATTTCCCTTTTCCACCTATTTAAAGGAAAACTACAATAGAGTACAGGTGTCTATGTTTCTCTCCAGTCCTGCTACAAATAAATATGTAGCTAAAATAACCTAAGAAAGTATTTCTTTTTCTGAAAGTTTGTAGATGCAGCCCTTCTCTTTGAAAATTTATTGTTTTGGGATCATGAGGTTCCTAATGACACCATATTCACAGCAGAAAGCTGTAAAAACCACAGATAACATTTTTTCTCATTCCTTCTGAGACAATTGTCAATGGGATAGTGAAGCTCACTTTTCAAGTAAAAACTTTAAACTTCTCTTTAAGATTACTCACAGAAATGCCAAACAATTTGCCTCCATGATGATTATAAGTCCTGTCAAAGTGGCAAGTATAATTCACAATGATGGTAGACTTAAAAGTATCTCAACATATTAGTCAGTAAGTAAACAGACAGGTAATGTCAGAAAGGAACAGTTGCCCTTCTAAGTTATGTTTTTATTGACCTACCTGCTTCAAACTTGTCCCTGACTCATTGTGCTCCAAATTCTCTAGCACTGTGATAATCTCAAATCAAGTTTATATCGAACATAGCCCTTTAAAATTATTTTTGTATTTGTAGGTATAAAGCTTTCAAATAAATTATGTAATCTACAAAACCAGTATTATTGGGGTTTTCAATAAACTTAGAGTATTTGTTAATAGTGCTTCCATTATTCTTAGATTCCTCAGTCTGTGTGCAGTGAGAGCTGTGCAGCTGGATTCAGGAAAGTTGCCATTGAAGGCAAGGCTGTTTGCTGCTATGATTGCATTCCTTGTCCTGACAATGAGATTACTAATGATACAGGTAAGCAAAAATCTTAAAGAGACTGAATGTTTCCACATCTCTATCGGATCTCAAATTATCTTAACCACTGAAAAATATAAGCATAACAGTGAAACAATATTATACCTTCTCTAATTTAGGACACAAATTGTTTATTACCATTTCTAGAATTAAATACACAAGGCATAGAAATTTATAATTGATTTCTATTCATGGACAACTTCAAGAAAGCCCTTTACTATGTTCTGAGCTGCATGTTTGACTTCCCCACAAAATTTAACCCAAAGTAACAGAGTGGAAAACTTTAATGATTTACTAACTGTATTTCAAAATGATTAGGACTGAGCTAAGTGTAGGATACATTATACTCATAATGACTCTTCCCAGATATCTTGTTTCATACAGAGCATATTAGAAATTTGTGTTGGATGTCTAGAGTATACAGGTTTTTTAACTGTACAGCATAAATAAATTTCAAATTTTCCTATTTAATTACTATGTTTATGTATGTCTCTATTGTTCTGCTCCATGTAACATAAGCAATATCCTGAAGACAATTTCAACAATCTGTTATGTAGGGCTATATCATCAGCTAAGAGCTACAATGGAATATAGAATCTCCACTTCAAGGAATTGGTCATGAACATACTCACAGGATATTTCTTTGGGAAGAAAAGTCTTTACAATCAGTATTTACATACTTAGAAATATAGGAAGAACTAGGGCGTTATCAATTTTGGAATGTTTTAACTTTTGAGTATTTCATATTATGTATTTTTATCATACCTATGCCTTGTCAAATGTTCCAAACCTTTCATCTTGCTTGATTGTTGTTCTATTCAAAACTATGAAATAAATCTTTATTGAATCCTGTTTACAATGCCGAAATGTGCTTTGTTATGGAGGATCTGCTGGAATAAGAACAAATTATTACATCAGGCCACACTCTTAAAGACAAATGTGTCTTCCTCTTATAACAAGCAATAAAATAAATAGCTTCTCAGGCAAGGGTAGTTATTTATGCAAATATTCCATATGTGATATTTGAACTTGTCTAAGTTTTCACAGGTCATATGCTTCATGTCACACGTGAGAATTTATAAATGCAATGTCATCCTATGTCTGTTATTGATTCTTCCTTTACAGTATTTCATAACTTCTGACTCTTCTGTTCTTTCTGAAATTCCTCCATGAATTTCCCATATGGAGATATAATAACTGTGCCCTCAAACTGTCAGCCAAATGTAACCCCATGTAATGAATATATGTGCACACATGCACAGGCATATATGTAAATATATGTGGACATTCTATACAGATAAACATTATATAAATGAATAATATCTATAGATGTATATATTATGTGTGTTTATAGTATATATATACAGAGAGAGAGATAGGTTGAGTGAAAGTGAGAGAAAGAGAGGGAGAGAGAGAAAGAGAGAGGGAGAGTATGTTAATTCCCATGTATATGTGTACATATATAATTGTAATTTGGCTTATGGCATTTTCATAAATATTTTCATATGTATATAATAAGAGAGTTTCATTGATCCATACAAAGTCCTACTGAAAAGTATATAATCACAAAATTATTGTGGCTAATTCTACTAAGCACTTGAAGTAGAAAAGATTACTGATTGAATGTTATGCAGAAAGATACTGGTATCTTGAAATAGGGAACTTCATTCTATATAAACTAGTTTTCATTGCACCTGTCATAGGCCTTTATTAACTGGTGGAGCTATACATGTGGGTCACTCATTACAAAGTAGAAAACCAAAAGGAAATCAATACTTCCATATGAAAGAATGGAAATTACCAACCTTGAGATAAAATCTTTAAATTTGGTCCTGAGAAGAATTATGTCAATGTGTCATAATAGTGTAAGGAAACATGTAAATATTTACAAGATGTAGAGAAATACATTTTATTCTCCTAAAGTGTATTTAAATCTCTGTTAAAGTTTTTCTATAAAACAAAATTGAAGTTCTATTGTTGAGTTTCTTTTAAGAAACACAAGAAAAAATGACAGTGGAAATCTAATATTATGAATCAGTGTGGCTGAATTTCAAACAAAAGATAAATTTTACCAACTTACAAGAGAACCATATTATTGGACACTTTTATTAGATCATCTATAAATGTTTCAATACTGTGACATTTCCAAACTATATAGACTAACATAACTGAATAGACTCGGGGTGTATTAAAATGTAAAAATGAGAAATAGAGAGCACATTGGGCTGGGAGAGAAAAGTTAGAGAAGGTGAGGAGTAGAGGAGGAGAAAAGATGTTTGTTTTGGGTTTACACACAGTTATGTGCATATAAATAGCAAGTGAAATATCACATAAGGAAGACAGGTTGTATAGTTATGGAATTATTCACTGCAGAGCACTTATTACTTTGTTTCTAAGAAAAAGTGAAAGTTAACTTAGGTAATAATCCAAAGAGCAGAAACTGAGAAATGTCTTAGGATAAAAATGATCAACTCAAGATGGACGCATGATCACATCACCTTCATTTCTGAACAGATATGGATCAATGCATGAAGTGTCCAGAAAGTCAGTATGCAAACACAGAGAAGAAACACTGCCTCCAGAAAGTTGTGAGTTTTCTTGACTATAAGGACCCCCTGGGGATGTCTCTCACAACCATAGCACTTTGCTTCTCTGTACTCACTGCTATGGTTCTTGGACTCTTTGTGAAGAACAGAGACACCCCGATTGTCAAGGCTAATAATAGAACACTCAGTTACACCTTGCTCATCACACTGATCATCTGTTTCCTCTGTACCTTTCTCTTCATTGGCTGTCTCAACACTACCACCTGTATCTTGCAGCAGATCACATTTGGAGGTGCTTTCACTGTGGCTCTTGCCACTGTGTTGGCCAAAGCTATCACAGTGGTTATTGCCTTCAAGGTCACTTTTCCAAGCAGAGTGGTAAGGTGGTTAATGATATCAAAGGCCCCAAACTATATCATCCCCATATGTACTGTGATGTACCTTGTCCTCTGTGCAATCTGGCTAGGAACCTCTCCTCCCTTCCTTGACCAAGATGCTCATGCTGAACATGGACATATCATCATTGTGTGTAACAAGGGCTCAGCTTTTGCCTTCCATGGTGTCCTGGGATACCTCTGCTTCTTGGCACTCGGGAGTTATACTATGGCTTTCTTGTCCCGGAATCTGCCTGACACATTCAATGAAGCCAAGTTCCTGTCATTCAGCATGCTGGTGTTCTTCTGTGTCTGGGTCACATTCCTCCCTGTATACCACAGCACCAAGGGGAAGGTCATGGTGGCTATGGAAGTCTTCTCTATCTTGGCTTCTAGTGCAGCTCTCCTTGGATTGATTTTTGCCCCAAAGTGCTACATTATCTTGAGAAAGCCAAATAAGAACAGTCTTCATCATATCAGGAACAGGACATATTCCAGAATGAATAACTTTCTCAAAACCTAGTGCAAAACTAGTCATAGTTCTTATACTAAGATATGAATTTGTAAGATGAAGTCCAGTTGATCTCTATTTCAAATGTGTGTTACTCAATTATAGTATGGGCTGGATTTGGGGGCTATTATTTGTTCTTCCAATTGTTTTAGAACCTCTTTATATAGGAGCTATTAAAAGTTTACATGCCTGAAATCTACAAATATTATTATATGAGCAGGACCTCATTTTTTATCTGGAATTGTCTGAAACCTTCCATGAATACCATGATGTTTTGAATTAATACAGGCCTGCCTAATTTGTTTCACCTGTTCTCAGATTAAAGATGGCCAGCCACATGTCTGGCTCATGATGAGAATTTATGTTCTTTCATATAGACTGCTCTTGTCTTGCCCCTCCAACCTTTGGTTGAGAGTTGAGTCTCAGGGGATATTCTGGTCCACCACCCCCTGTCCAAGCCCCCTGACCTGGGCCCCCTAAAAAAACATCACCACCTACCCCGAAGCAGAACAAAGCCGCCGGTTTCATCAGCAGCTGTTCCGATCTTCTGGTTGAGAGCCATTCTGTTCTTGCCCCTCCACTCTCTGGTTGAAAGGAAAAGGAGAGACCCCACCTATACCCACTGTAAGAAGAGATGGGAAGATAAGAGTATAAGAACATATCCAACAACAGAAAGGCTCATATAACAGCACCAGAGCCTAGGGATTCTACACCTGTTCAGCAAAATCTGAACATCCAAACACAGATGAAGAATAAGTGAATGACCTTAAAAACAACCTCATGTAAATGATAGAGGCCCTCAAAGAAGATATGAGAAAATTCCTTAAAGAAATGGAAGAAAAAAACAAACCAAAAA